TCCCCAACTTAACGCAGTGCAATAATACAATGAATGTGCACTCATTAGTTCCCTCTGAACAACTTTATAAACTGATCGCCAAACCCTTGCTGATTACAGAGGGGAATGACAAAGGAAATAATCACTGTATACAAAAATCATAAATACGAGTCCTGCCAAATATTCTTTAACTTATTGTACACAACGAAACGTACTACGTTTCTCTATGTTCCGTTGGCGTTGGCATCCAGTTCCTACAGCATCTGAAAACAAAAAAAGAAACCCAATATTGTTTTCAAAGTCTAATAAGTCTCGTCGAAACGACCAGACATCAAACCTCCACATACAATTTGCACTTTGCTCTCCTTGCCATTTCACTTTCCCCAAATAAAAATGACTCATAATCCTACATTCTTCTTGTTTCATAATACAGTACGATGGCTTGAGAAGTCTGAAATCATGGTCCCCATTCTACTTTCTCGAAAAAATCACTTTGAGCTGTTACTAACAGTTAGCGACACTAATCACTTTATGAATGCATCTTGAAGTTTTGATGAAAGAAAAAACTACTACGACTTCCTATGAAGTCCAATAACGCTAAATTTTTCAACCAAAAGCCATTTGCTGCAGCAAAAATGCAGTGCTTCACTTCCAAAACAAAAAAATAGAAGAAAACGACAGGAACACAAATCGTTTTGGAATTACATCATTATCAATATTGACTTTATTCTTATGCGTAATGATTTTTAAACAACAAAAATAACTAGCGCCCTTGTCCAAACATTATTATTGTTTTAAATTATGTCACCTTTCCAAAAATCAACAATTCATACTTTGTAACTATGATACGGAATGGTCATATGCTGCCGTTTGAGCTATCGCATGATCCATCTTTGCATCAACCCTCCATCATAAAATGAAACAACTGTATTTAGCAAGGAGAGAATTGAGCCATAGAACAACACAGAAAGCAATCAAATTGGACAACCTCGATCTTTCTCCTTCCCCCGATAAGTATCATCAATTCGGCGACACAATGATTTTTCCCCAGCAACTTATTCATTTACGTTGATGCCTTTCCGATAAACTAATGAATGCATCTTGTTCTTCCAGTCGGGAAACACCAATAGTCTTTAGTCATTTTCCAACTGCCCATGACATGCGATTTCTGTAACACAATGATTTTCCTACTGACAGCGACTCACGTCTGTACGCCTCCAATTCGTTACAACAACTACTTCCACTCATTTCCCGTTTTTTTTTTTTTTTTTTGTTTCACAACAACTACGCAACAACAGTAGTGATTCAGTGCCCGAGTTGCGATGAAGAACTGGCACTTTTGTTTGAAGCTGAAAAACTTGTTTTGATATCGCTAGCTGAACCTTGTTTGCCAGACCTTATAAACGTTCAGAATCTTCCCTTTAAAACCCTAACTACAAGCCAAAATGCATTTACTGAGTAATCCCGAACACCACAACATTTTCAAATTGGATTGAACAAAGCTGGCTTGGAAGCCAGAAGTACTCTGCGGGACAACTGAAGGAAGCGGTAGAAAGCCATCTGAACCAAGCAGACAGAAATAGGAGTCCAAGAGCAAGAAAATGAGCATAAAAGAATACCCTAGAGTATTGCTTAATCTCTTTCTCCCTGAAAGGCAACCTCGTTCTTTCCTTTTAAAATGAACAAGAGTTACTTTTGCACAGGTGACCTTAAGTCTAGAGAACAACAAAGCAGCACCAGACACATCCCTGCTGTAACTTCTGGCAGCTCTTCATTTTGCCTCCGCGCCATTCTCCCCCTCCCCACATGTCTCACACACATGTATCACACACACGCACAGAAACAAACACACATAAAGACATGCAGACAAACAGACACACGCACACATGATCACCACGATGCATCCGGACGCCAAACATTCAAAAATAAGCTTTCTTTCAACTGGCACTTTGTGTTATCGCCGCTCGGCAATTTGATTTTACATCTGCTTCTCACACTGATGAGCATCACAACAACTGTATTTTCTTTTTGTCTGATTCTCTGCATGTAATTGTTCTGTACACTTCCCCTTAATAACTTAACAACCTGGCGCGCAAACATTTTCCTGACGTCATTCGCCACTGCTGAGACGACGCTTTCGCAATGTCGCTGAGGCCTTAGAATAGAACATATAGAAAACGGGCAGCACACAAGACGACAACACCAGTGAAAATCAATAACTGTTTGGCTGAATGACTGGTGGACGAAAAGGGTGCGAACGAAGAAAAGAAAAAAAGAAATAAGAGCGACGCGCATTTTACATTGAGGTTTGTTCAGACGAGAGGTGGGGGGCTTCTGCAGCCCAACCTTTTTCCGTTGGTTTTTTGCCGTATTTATTAATATGTTTTGATGGTTGACGACGCGGTTTGCTTTCTGCTCTTTGCTTTTTTCGGTGTTCAGCTGTTCAGCTTCTTTTTAATAGGAGGAAAAAAAAAAGGGAAAGTGTGTAGAAAGAAAAAGTAAGTGAATAACACTTCACATAACTTTTCTCAAATACTTTGTTTTGCTCCATAAACCTTAAACGTTGAAACGGTCTTTACTGCCGTTCGTTGTCATTTTGATGGTTGATGTCGCTGCTGGTAATTGTTAAGCTGGCTGTGTTTTTGCTTTATGCTACTGCAGTTTTTCAGTGCCGCAGTGTCAACGGCAACAGATTTTAGTTCCCTTTGTTATTGAGTATTTCATGTCTGTTTTACGGTCATTGTGTATGTTTGTCTATGAAAGGTTTGTTTTAGCGACTTATATTATTTCTTGGTTGTAGTATGTCCTTCTGGTCGTTTGGTTTTATCGACATCCGATGTGAAAGATGATTTTGTTTTTTTAATTTTTTGTTGGTGAATGGCCGCTTATTTTATTCGCTGCAAAATAACGTTCATTGTGCACCTCCAGATCTTGCGGTTACTTCACTGACATCCCTTAGATGGGTTACTGACCTTGTTCTGGACGACAAGTAGCAGGGAAGTTTTTTATGTCCATTCGATACCGGATTAGCTACTAATCATTTTCGCTTTCCTTTATTTTTTTTCTATCTAAGAAAGATAAGGAAATAGTCTTGCTGATGATGGTGTTGTTTGAATGAGTGCTTTAAAGGTGAACAGAGCGTCAGAACTTGTTTTTTTTTTTCTCTTGTTTAGGGAAATTTTCTTATTCGGTTGCAGAAGTTTTTTTTTGGCACTTTTTGCTGTCACGAAGCGACCTCTGTTTACTGCAGGTGTGTTCAGATTGCGAAACAACTCGTTGGTTTTGCTCTTCGTCGTATAATGGAATTTAACATTTTAGCTACCAGGTTTGTCGTAGGTTCTTTTTCAGTTATTGTCAGAGTTCCTCCCAATATTTTACCCATTATCGGCTAATCCATATGTGGTCTAACAGTTGAATCAACTTTCTGAATAATCGAATGATTAATTATATTTTGGGTTTTAATAAAGATCTTGTGGGTTTTCTTACTTGTGAATTTTAAAGTGGTTTTCGTTGTGAAATGGATTTTTTGCAATTCTTT